CATGCAGGACGACTGAGTACACATACTTAATTTTTGGAACCAGCGGTTCTCTGATTGGTTATTGAATAAAAAGATGCATTGTTTGCATAAGTTGGAACAACTCTGAGATCAGATTATAAGGTCATCTAATTCACAGCCATTTACAAATCACCTACTCGGGCAATTGCAGAATCCTTTTGATCCTGAGCTTGTAAGACAAACCTAATATCACTGGATTTAAACACTTCTTTAATCTTCCCGGAACATTCCTTCTTTAGCTCATATTCCAAGAATATTAAGTGAATGCAATTATTGCAAAAGAAATTGAATATTAATTTGCATTACGCCTTGGTAGTTTACTAACAAGTTAACAAAACTTAAATTGTTTTTTGTGTCTAAGAATACAACATATTTTAAATATTACAAATAAAATATTGGAGATTTAATTGGAGTCTCCCAGTTGCCTAGCATTTGAAGATTGTTAAATACTAATTGTTTTGTTGCGTAGTCTACCCAGGCTGCATGGTGGTTTTCGTAGTTTTCTAGGTTCTCTTTACAAAGGTTTCTCTATAAAAGCATCTTAACCAAATAGCTCCCATGTTCTTTCTAAATTCAAATAACCAACTAACCTACTTGAGCGCAATTTCCAAGTTAAGTTACTAGCCAAACCCGAATACTCATTAAAAATCATGCAGCTTACCAATTAGGAGTAACATGAAAGATACGGCACCAGTAATTGAATGCTGTTACGGTACACTGTTTCTAAACTTAGATGGTAATTCCTTAATTAAATATAATTGATTTGTAACTTCTACTAGAGCTGACGGTAAGAATTTAAGTGTAAATAAATAATATTGTGTGCAATCTTTATTAATATAAAATTATAAATATTTGCATAGAAAAATATTTGCATTCAGACAGAAAGTTTTTTGAAATAGTTGCAATTACTAATTCAGAAGTCAAACAACAAAAATCAGCGTTATATTTTCAAAATTTTCACAGGACTAGTTTCAATGGTTTTACAGAACCATTATCCTCAGCTGTAAATGCCTGATGGTGGTTCGGTAAAACCATCGAAACTAGTCCTATGAAAATTTTGAAATATAACACTGATTTTTGTTGTTTGACTTCTGATTAGCATTTGTTTGCGTATTATGTGTCTTTACTTTGCATTACTTTATAAGAAGGATTTATAATAACCGTAAAATTCTTTTATATTACTGATGATTAGAATTCAGTTCTTGACAATTACATTCTAAATTAGAATTTAAGAATATAATGAAAATATGCTACGCATGAAATACATTTTAGATAAAAAATGAGTGGTTTTTTATGTTTAAAAACTTCTTAAATCATTTAATAAATCGTACCTCTTTGTTAATTGAATCCAGAATGTTGAGTGTCTTTATATAATTATTCTTACTTGTCCACAGAACCTGCTGACTTTCCAGCATTAAGGAGCTGCGATCATTTCTACATAACCTTGAACTTCCATTAATTCAATCTCTAGACATTGTATGTTATATCATAATTTGACTTTTATAAAAGATTCTTCTAACTCTTACGTTTCTACAAAATATACTGTGCTTTAAAAATATGGATGATAGTATCAGCGGCTCTTTCAGCCATTTTATAAGCAACAGCTTGCTTAGAAATAAATTATGCAGTTAATGTCATAAAATATATTCATAAAGTTCAAATAAACATGAAAGAAAGTTCTCATTTTTAGACAATTCGATTTAAACAAAGTTAAAGTAAAGTAGCAGGCGATAAAACGCCGAAGATAAAAATTTACTCTTACAAATATTTTTTTTAAAAAGGAAGAAAGATAGAAATTTTAAAAAATAGTTAAAAATTTGAATATATCATCTAATTTAAAAAAAAGCTTTTCATATAGTATCAATAAATATTATTATCATCATTGAGGAAAAATTGCATATATAAATTCTCTGTAAATTTTATTTGAAATTTAAGTTTAAAAATCTGTGGCAATTCACTGTAACAAAATCCATAAACCACAAGGCGTTATTATCACAAAAAAAAAAGATGCCAAATTTCAAGAGAAAATATGTAAATTCGTGATATCTTAAAAAATTCTGAATAAAAAAGTCTAATTTTTGCAGGTAGCTTAGAAATACCTATACTTGATGACGGTAAATTTTTTTATAGGTTATAATTCAAATTTTTTTTCGAAAAATTTATAAAAATTATTTAAAAATAAATTTGAAAAATAAACACAAAAATGGGTAAATTTTATTTGGAATGAACCTAATTTCGAATGTGAAAGGAAAAAATAAAAAAATTTTAATAAAAAAAGAGATATTAATAATATTTCCAATTCAATAAATATTGAGGAGCTAAAATTTTGGGAGCTTATATTTTAAAAACTACTTGTACGATTTTTACAAAACTTGGCATTCTGGCATAATTTGAGTCGTAGAATCGAAATATGGAAAAAAATTGGTATGTTATTTTAGAAAAAGTCTGATTTTGTGTCATACCTATGTTAGAATAGTGCTATATATAAATCTAATATATATTTTAAGTCGCGCTTTCGAGACATGAAAAATAGGATTGAAATTTTAGATTTATTAAAAACATTTTCTCTGGTTTTATCCTTTGTTATCCTGTTTCTGATTTTTCATGCCAGAAAAATCAATTTTCAAAAATCTATCCCTATTGTTGCCAATGTAAAGGACAAACTCATTACATGGAATGTAAACAAAACAGCTACAAGATGCACTGTCAATGCACAAAAAGAGAAAAAAACAAGATACTTATTATGGTTCATTGCACTGCCTGAATTAACTCGGGCTTCAGTAAAGCAGCCGGAAAAAAAAAAAAAAAAAAACACAATCTTGCCAAAAGTAATACAGAGCTGTAATCTAGGTAATAAGAGTTAAAGTAAAAATCAAGTAAATACATTTTATGATCTACAAGTATAAATGTCATTGACAGTATGGTATAGTCTGAAACATGGTGCAAAACAAAGCAGCACATCACAGTCTGGACAAAAATAACACCATTACCGCTCGAGGGTAATCCCTTCGAGCAGGTAATCACAATAGCTGATTGAACCCCTCTCACAGCTAAGAAAACATGTGCATGGTAAAGTGTTGATTGCTACGCGATATTACGGGTGATGGCATTAAATATGCATAATATTTTCAGCGCTTGAGTTCACTCATTCATAGGAAAATTGAAACGTCTATGCAAGAGATATCTCCTGCGCAATCGTTAAGCGGGTAAAACACCATAGAATAGTAAAGTAATGATTTACCTAAAATGAAACATTTGTGCATTTAAGATCATTTGCTGTTCATGTTAGCAGTGTAAAAATTTTTAATAACTTTATAACTGAAATAATTTTTTCATTTAAAATACATTATATAGATAGTGTTTTTTGTTAAAAATATGTTTACATATTTTTATGAGAGAAAATTATAATTAAATTTACAATGAAAAACTTTTTAAACTGAAATTTTAGGTACATAACGTGCTATTGCAACCACCTTAGTAGAAACTGGCAAATTTTTCACAATGTGCCAACCATTCTTGAGGCAATCATGCTTAAGGCAAACCGCCAGTCAACCAACATCACCATTTTCACATTAATTCTTTTTGTTGTGTACCAATAGCTTTTATAACCAAATTGTCATATCATACGCCTTAAACGTAATTTTTAAATACGCACTTATGGAGTTTGCCAGCGATCAAAAAAACCACAGTAAAATTTCTTCAGGAACACAGAATTTCGATGCAAAATTGCTAAAGAGAACAATGAAGAGAGGCATCGATTAGATAGCTAGTGCTGCCGAGGTTTGGAAGAAGTCTCTGCAGCTCCCTCATGTTTTTTTCAGAGAAAATAGATAGCTGTGTACTCAAGAAGAAAAGTGCACAAAAAATTACAGAAAGATTTGCAGAAAAATGTGTTTTATTTATTTAATATATCATGCAATCCATATTTAAAAATTAAAATTTTTATTTTAAAATGTTAAAGTATGCTGACTTTTCATATGTTGATAATGTTTGCCAAATTTAATAAGTGCTGATATTTTGGGAATCTTTTTCAAAAAAGTTGCAAAAACAACCATCTTGTACCCAATACATAATTTTCACCTTTTCATCTGAAAAAATAGGTAAATTTTATCAAGGTGGTTATGTTTATACATAAGCAATTTCATTTGTTTACATTCGATGATAAATGCAGATTATAGGTGTTTATGGATTAAGCAGTGGTGAAGTCTGTTAGAGATTCTGTGCGGCTTCGGTTGCTTAATTTTAGTTAATATTAGATCAGTTTTATATTTTCTATCTTGAATTAAATCCCAGGTGGAGGCTTATTGTATGCCTGAGAAAGAACCGTCTAATTAAGGTAGAAAAACATGCTGAACAAATATTAATTTAGAAGTCAAACAATAAAAATCAGCATTATATTTGCAAATTTTCACAGGACTAGTTGATTTGCACTTTGGCAGCTGAGGCTGATGGTTCAGTAAAACCACCAAAACTAGTCCTGTGAAAATTTTCAAATATAACACTGATTTTTGTTGTTTGACGTCTAGATTAAAGGACAGTCTTTTCCTTTATTTTTAGTTGGAATAAAGGGTTATTTAACTCTTTTTTGGATTTACAAGAACTCAGAGAATAGTCATTCTACAGTTCTTCAGTATTCTAGCTTACAAGGCATTCTAACTTAGCAAGGATATTACAATATATTTTAAATTCTATATAAGAATTAAATGCTAGGAAGTGTTTTTAAAAAAGAAAGCAAAATTAAGGCACACTTATGATTTTAATAAAAAAGATATAAAGATTCTGGGCTGTTTTTATTTAAAAAATAATTGGTCTAAATTAAATAAAATATACTTCATATAGAGTACTGTGTAAGGTACTAATAAAACTTCTACGAACTTCAAAGATTTACATTAATTTCTCATATGGAGGAGAACTATATATACACAGAAAGAGAGAGTATGATATACATATTAAGAAACATAATGCACTAATTTTGCACATACTCTTTTCCTTCCATGTCTTTCAGAATTGCTGAACGATTTTGTACTATCAGCATACTTAAAAGATGCAAGAAGAAAAACTTTATATAGATAATAAATTCAGTCAAACTTTATATAGATATTTATATTTCACTTTATATAGATAATAAATTCAGTCAAAATTTTATCTTTATTACTGCACTGAAAACATGCTCTATTTTCATACAGTGTCAAAAAAAAAAAAAAAAAGAAACTATTTCTATGTGAAGCATAAAGTGTTAGAAAAGTTCACAGAAATACTAATATGCACATTCTTTGTTACTTAAAATAAAATTATGGGACTGTTAAAAATGACATATTTTAAACCAAAACTACCAACAAAGCTTTAGAGGAAATTATTACAGCCATTCTTATAAGTATTATAATCTGTATTTAACTACTGTTGCTCCTTGAAATTCCTAATCAAATTCTTATATTTTCTCTCCACGATTTCATACTTACTCAAACAATACAAAAATTGTGGTGACAGCTAAACAAATTATTTTTTAATCCATAAAAAGAGGAAGAAATAAAGAAAATCACTGTCACTGAAAAGTGAAATTTTATTTTATTCAGCATGGCAATGAAGTACACTACATCCCATTTCTTTTAAGATCTTTCAATCCATCCAGTGGCATAAGAGTACATTAAACTCTTTTAAATTTCTGCTTAATTCAGATATCTGATCTCATACTCACTTAAAATTATGGGCTGTTAAAATTGAAATTATATCTTTTGATTTAAAAATCAGTCATTATACAAGAATGAAAAATGTACAATAAGAAACTGGAATGAAATTATAAAACAGGAAATTAAGTTTTTGTATAGCGTAGTATTTTCGTTGTAAATATAAGCATGTGCAAAATTTTAAGAAAACTGGCTCTGTAGAAGGCACTAAAATGATTGCAAGATGTGATTCAAACAAATAGAGAGACAAAGGTAAATAAAATCATTAAAAAACAAATTCGACAGAGCATCAACATAAGTGATGTTATATATCCTTGTAATCAATTTAAAAGAAAAAAATAAACCTGCAAGTATTCATGAACATACTTATCTTTGAAATACGAACATACAAAATTTTGCAGTTAACAATTATTAACGCAAATTTATGTTGTTTTATACTTGTATTCTATTGATATGCACAATAAATCAAAGAACTCTGATGTGAACATGATGACTTTCTTGCATGGCCTACTAAATTATATACACATTTTTCTGCCCTTCATTTAAACTTATTTCCTTGAACTATTCTAACTTAATTAACCAGCTTTTCAAGGCAAGTCGAAAATGACATCAAAAACTGCAAATTTTGAAAATAAATATTCGTCATTTTCTGTCATGTGTTTCCTATCATTTCACTTCTCATAACAAGTGTAAAACTTTCCTAAATATAAGTATAGGAACCAGAAGACCACATTAAAAGTCAAATTTCATTATTTGTCGAAAATAATTTAAAAAAAAAATTTTATATTTCCAAAACATGAATATTTCCATCATTTAAAATACTTCTACAATTGGAAGTATATGGCTACAACCAACGCTTGAGAAAATAAGGTTCATTCACACTTCTGCACATTGAAATTAAGTATTTTAAAGGATTATTAATGAAAACATTAAGTACCAATCAACAAAGGGAACTGAATTAACTAAAAACTTAAAAGAAATAAAAATTTATCAGGTAATTAGCATTAAATTGTAAAATTCCTCCAAAATTTATACTTATATTATTTATATTTTACACTTACAATAGTCCTACATATTTTTAAGAAGGTTAGTGACATCTAAGTTTTACTGACAATTAGATTTATGTTGATTTTTTCCATTATGTCTTGTTTCATCATTTATTCACTTAGTCCAGAGGTTTGTGCAAATTTTATGTCAAATAGTGCAGGTTAAAATAAGAAATAAAATCATAACCAGCATGATTCATAATGGAAGCTTGGCTGTTGAACCCACAGATGCCTACTAAGAGAGAGACGATCTCAAAACAGACATGAATGCCCGATATTGGCTAGACTAGTAAGTATTGAAAGTTAGTTGCACTTCATCTAACTAGTCAGTGTCATAGCTAGTTGGTGTCATAGCTGTGCATAGTTATAATCCAGCTAATATAACAAAGTTTGAATAAGTACCAGAAATAGTAAGTTGTTTTATATCATTTTAAGTCTCATTAGGTATAAGGAATAAAGTTTTAAGGTAATGCTTATATCTTTGTGTTGTATATTACATTTACAGTAAGGATTAACGAAAGACACTCAACCTTAACACATAGGGAACTTCTAAGGGTGAGTAATTAGTTACAAAATACTTATAATTGATACTATAAATCATCACAGATTTATATGGTCTTCTTTTTTTAAAAAAATTTCGAAAAAATATCTGTTAAAAAAGCACTATTCAAATTCCTGATCTAAGCATATTTTACAATTTAAAATACAGATTATTACACAAAATTTATATTGATTATAAAATGAAATTAGGATAATTAATCACACATAAAATATGTTTCAGAGCAACAACACACTACAAATGTTTATGCAGCTTTCTAATTTGAAAAATTTCAAGATATTTTACATAATTTACATTAGTTTTATTCTCTTCAACATATTTTTTGTTTCAATAAACAAATCAGTGTTCTCACTAGTTTCTGTTTGATCCCCTAACTTATTTATGTTTTAAAAATATACCATAAAAAATAATTTTCTTTCTCTTTATTTAATTTTTTCCCCGAGTTTCCTCTACATTTTAGAATTTCAGATTTAATTGAAGATTTCTGTTATTATATAGAACTGAATGTATTTAGAATGTGCAGAAGATGATATATATATATATATATATATATATATATATATATATATATAAGGTGCTAGTGGAAGAATTTTTAAATTTAGTGAACAACAAAATTAAGGGATGACAATTTTTTTTTTAAATTTAGGACAGACACTGGGCAGCACAATATAGGAAATCCATGGAGATTGTACCAGGTGGCAAAATGCCTTGTTTTAGCCTTGTGTACAGTGCAGTGACACATCAGATGAATCTTTCAAACTGTCAGTTTTCAAATTCTTTATAAACAGAAAAATTCTTTTCTATGGATCTTGTCCAAGTGAAAAAATTAGAACTATTTTTGCAATTTTCCATGCTTGTGTCTAGTGAAAAGATGAGAAACTAAAGGGAAGATAAACATATTAACAGAAATTCTTCTAGGATCAAAAGCACAAAATTCAAATAACTTTGTTTTCACTGTTCTTCTAAAAATTTTCCAAAGCATAAGAAATTCAGGTACTATTTGGTTTTGAGGGTCGTAAAAAATTGCCAAACTATTGTTGATGCCAGTGCTGAAAAAAATAATTGCGACAACCCCAACGCAAGAAAGGAAGTATAATAGTAAATAACTATTTAAGGTTGGTTTGGTTTATTAGATTACAGCAAAGCACTTGAGGGCTATCTGCCTTAAGGGAGGGATGCCTTCATGGAGGACTTTTTAAGGGAAACTGGCTCGTATATACGTTACACATGGGGAAAACCACGAAAACGCCCATGCAGCCAGCCCGTTCGCGGGATTCGAACCTCAGACCGAACTACCAGTGTTCAGCGACGTTACCGCTCGGCCGCTGGTGGGCCCAATAACTATTTAAGACTGATGTTTTAATTTAGATGAAAAGTTAATTTCATACAATATTTTTTTATTATTATAATTTATATAAAAATAGCTAAACATGGACTGAATGGAAGCATGAGAGTAAATAACTATTTCAGATCATTATTATAATTTATATAAAAATTGCTAAACATAACTGAATGGATGCCGCCATCTTTATTTCGCTACAGACTTATCGCTAAAGCACAATTTCATCTTGTTGGTTGTTCAAACGTAATTTTCTATAATGAATGATGCCTTTTCTTTGGAAAAAAAGTGCAGAATTGCTCCCTTATTTTTTTGCTGCTTCTCACAAGGGTAAAAACAATGGGATTTTTGTCAATTTTCTTTTACTTTTTAGGTGAAAATAGGTCGATGTGTACATAGATAAAGTCAAGGGTGTGCACAGTGCCGTTTTTGTGCAATTCTGAGATTTTGTTTTTTAAGTGAAAATAGGTCGATGTGTACATGGATACCAAGTATGTGCAATTCTTAAAAACATGTCAAGCAGTGGGTGATTGTGCACATTACCCAAAATTCTATTGCACACTTTTCATCATGGGCAATTCCTGTTAAATCCATAGGATATCAAAGAAGGATTTGAAAATTAACTAGTATTTCAATGGCGTCTTAAGAAATATAGAACTATATAAACTTACGCAATCTGAAATCAACACGTACGCTAGATTTGGCACGCTGTTAAATGGGCGCGTTTGCTAGATTTGGCGCTTTTGCGCATACATTTTCGCTGCAATTCTTTTACGTTCCTCAAAACAGAACAGTACCGAAATTCATCACAATTTCCCTGTAAAACACATCAATATGTATTAATACCATGAAAATATCTTTCATTTGGCGACTTTTTTTTGGAATCATAAATCTATAAATATTTCAAATCATTCTAAACTTTCCGAGGTGCATAAAAATTCAAAAAAGAAAAGAGTTAAGTTTTTCAGAGAAAATTTATACACATTTGAATATTCCAAAACAACATAGAAAAAACTCAGAGAAAATATATAAAAGAAGAAAAAATGAAATTAATTTTAAAATAACTACAGTAGCTTTTTTCTTTTGCTAAGAAGTGCTTCGGAAACTGCATTTCATAGCATTTATTATCTTATCTATTTTTCAGAATCAAAATATTCCTAAGTCGCCAAAAGTGGAAAGTAATGTTATTTTTAAATATGACATGGGAAAATAAAAATGCTATTAATCAATTTTATCATGTTTGTAAAAAAAAAAAAAAAAAAAAAAATTATCAAAAAATTTGCAAAACCACAGATAAAATATTTTGTATACCAATTGATCTTGAAATCACCAAAATGTTGATAAATTGCTAAATTTACTATAAATAAAATTAGTAGCTATGAATAAATTTAGCTATAAATAAAATTAGT